CCACACAAATATTTTCAATGGATTCTTGACAAAGGTGAAAGGTAATTCAATGAAGGAATGTAAAGATACTTCTCAAGAAATGGTCCTGATGAAATTGAATGTTGGAGCATGAACAGGAGTGAACCTCAAACTATACCTTATCTACAGAAATTAATTCAAACTAGGTCATAGACCTAAGTGTAAAATGCATAGCTATACGACATTTAGAAAAAGACATAGAGAAATCTTACGATCTAAGGTTAGGCAAATAAACTCGATACCAAAAGCACATCTTTATAGATGAAATACTGATAAATCGGACCTTGTCAAAATTAAAAGCTTTTGCTCTGTGAAAGTTCCTGAGAAGAGAATGAAAAGACCAGCTACACACAGGGAGAAAACGTTGGCTCACCCCACCTCTGACTAAATATTAGTATCCAGAATATAGAGATAGTTCTCAAAACTCAACAGTAATAATAACAATGATGATCATAGTAATTCAATTAGAATATCAGCAAAAAGCATGAAGAAACAGCCACTAAGGAAATACCCAGATGGCAAATAAGCACACGAATAGACAGTCAATGTCACTAGGGAAATGGAAATTTGAACCACAATCAGATCACTACATACTTATCAGAATGGCTAAAATGAAAAAAAAAGTAACACCACCAAATGTTGGTGAGGATGTAGGGTCATTCATATATTGCTGTGGGAATGTAAAATGGTATAGCCATTTCTGAAAACAATCTGGAAGTTTTTTAAATGAAATTATACATCAAACTACTATATGACCTAGAAATTGTACTTTTGGCCATTTATTCTAGAAAAATGAAAACTTATTTTCACACAAAAACCTATACACAGATGCCATGGCATATTAATTTGTAATAGCCAAAAACTAGAGTCAGCCCAAATATCCTTCAGCAGGTGAATGAATTAAAAACCTGTGGCACAGCAATATAATGAAATATTATGCAGCAACAAAACAGAGCAAACTATTGGTATATGCAACAATTTGAATGAATCTCCAGGAAACTATGCTAGATGAAAAAAGCAATTCCAAAAGATTCACACTGTGTGGTTCTATTTATACAATATTTTGATATGGTGAAATTTTAGAACTAGAGGACAAATTAATGCTTGCCAAGAATAGGAACAGGAGGGCGAGGGAGGGCAAGGGTGAGAGGGAAGTGGGCAACCAGAGGGACCCTGGTGCTGGTGGAACTGGTCAGTGTCTTGACTATGGTGGTGTACATAGGAACCACACATGTGACAAAACTATATAGAGCAAATAAGCATACACACAAATGAATGCAAATAAAACGGAATAAGGTAGGTGAGCTGGGTCAATATCAAAGTCATAGCTGAGATGTGGTGCTACGGTTTTGCAAATGTGTTGGGGGAAAACTGGATTTAGAGTGCATGGGATCCCTCACACTTTTTCTTTGGACTACATGTGAATCTACAACTATATCAATAAAAATTTCAATTAATGTAAAAAGAAGTATGGCTGTGACTGGGTCATTCCTGTTTGGCCCAGAGACCTCCATACCACCTCCTACCAACACATATACGCACAGAGGTTTCTGCTGGCCCAGGTGCAAAACAGGAGGATTTGATTGGCATGGCACCTCAGCCTCAGTGAGGATCTACTGCCACATCAGCTCTTGTTGATCTGCATAGATGAGGTTATATTTAGAGTGAACTTGTTGTCCAGACGTAAAAAATTAAGATACATGGCTTGACACAGGGTTTAAAACTAAGGAGCTTCTAGAAAATGCAAGATGTGTATTTGGAATAGATTTTGAAGAAATCTCATTGAGAACAAGCATTCAAGATGTCTTCATATTCTTTTTGTCTCTAATAGATGAGAAGTAAAAATACAAAAAAATCAAACTGTGAGATAAGAAACCTTCCACTGCAAATATTTTTCTATTAACTCTTCTGTAAGAGGCATTGATCTAAATTGGATCATATGCACGGTCTACTTTAACTTCTAGTAACCTGCAGAAGTAGGTGTTGTTACAGATGAGAAAACAGGTTGGTGTAGTTAAGTGACCATGTAACCGTAAGCATGCTTGTCTCTCCTGCAGCAAATTGAGAATTATATGTTTAGAACCTGTTGCCTGTTCACATAGCACTTATATAAAAATCAAATAACGTGTAAAGGTAAAGACAATTGTTTTGAAGTAAAGACTCCTGCATTCCCTGCCAGCTCTCTGTGAGCTAGGACACTAGTGGTCATTGAAAGCCATGGAGGATTCCTCGTTCTTAGAATTTTAACATGTAAGGGAGCACAGAAGTGGGGCTAATACTACATTTGCCTTTGGAGGTAATTGCTTGAAACAAACCTCTTTGTAAGTATGAGTTTCAGTCTCATCTCCTTATCAAACCACTGGGCAATACTGCTCACAGCCAATTTGCCAAATTAGACCTTGATTCTGTCCCTAAGTCTCTGCCCAACTTCTGTCAAATACACACAAATAAAGTCTGTGGGAATGTTACCGAACAAGAGGAGGTCCGTGGGAGGGGCAGACAATATTTGGCCCACCTAGGGATGCCCAAAACTGCTATACAACAGGGGCCCCTCCCAAAAACCAAAATACTAAAATCTACTGGGCCCTTCTGTCCGCCGCCAATTGGAAACACATCTCTTAATGCCAGAGATTTGTGAAAAGGAAACAAAATGTTTATTTAATGCTATTCAAGCCTAATGCCTCCACTAAAATATCAAAGTCCTTTAAGTATACACCTACACCCACACAGCACTCCCTTCTCCCACTGTCCCAACTCTGGGTACCGTAAATCAGGAAAAGAGCACACGCCTGTGTTGCAGGCCGCTGGCACCGTCAGCTGTGTCACTGTGCAGGATCTCGAGTTAATCCAAAGTACTGTGGTACCCTCTCATGGTCCACTGGCAAGAGTCCTTTGTACCCAGTTCCAGTCAAAGTCTCTCTTGCTTTTTCAGGCCCCGCAGCCAAAGGGGGCACCCCAAAGCCGCGTGGGCCTCTTCTACCAAAGCTGCAGGAGTCCGCACTCCACCAAAAGTATGTGGCTGTCTTCTTCACCTGGCTGCAGGGATCTCCATTCTGGCAAAGCTGTGTGGTTTTTCCCTTTCACCTGGGAAAGAGGGGGGTCCACACTCCGCCAAAACCACGTGGCTCCCTCTTTCACCCCACCAACAGGGGGTCCTCACTCTGCTGAAACCGCGTGGCTCTCTCTCTCCACATCTGGCCAAGCGGGGACCCTTCATGTACTGGAGCCAGTCTTTTCCAAGCTCTCACACAGGCCTTCTCACTCAGGAGCGCAGCCCCTAGTTACATTCTGAGTCCAAGACCTTCTCACTCAGGAGCGCAGCTCCTAGTTCCCATCTTGAGTCCCAGCTACTACCTTCTCCCTTCTGCCTGGCTCCAAACTTGGCCACTGCTATTTAACATATCTATGAAACTAGTTAAAGGTTATAGATATGTTAAATAACCATTCCTCCAGAGGTTAGCTCCAAAACTGTTGCTATGCAAAATAGCTCTCAATGGCCCTGGCTCCATTCATCCCTTCCCCCTGGGGGGGGGTGAGGACATCTTATATGTCTCTCCAATATTTCTATACACTTTGAATTCTGGACACCTTTCCAAATCTTTTTTGGGGGGGCCCCCCTGGCTGCACCCTGTATCAGGAAGAAAAGGAGTTCCCTAAAACCTATACAAAGAACAGTGATGTATCCAGGGTTCTTTCAACATACAAGTACTCCTGAAGTCCAGGCAGTGTGTGTGTCAGGTGACTCACGGGTACTAACCGATCTTCACACAAAGCTACATTTCCGAAATCTTACCCCAGTGGTCCAGAGCTTCTCCCAAGCCTGCTCGAATCCTGCATATTGGCCAAATTCTGCCCTCAGATATACACCATGGCTCCTTCTGATCTCAATGTAGAGACTTTTGCAAAGCTAGTCCCTGACTGATGGTTGGGGAAGTTCTGCCAGTATCTGAGGATGACTCTGGCCAGTTGAAATTTTCTAGACCTGATGGTTTAAGAGGCTTGTGACTGAACTACAACTACAGCTACACTTCATTTTAATTATCGGTGGTGACAACACAAGCTCTGCCATCATTTTGTATTTTCCCTCTCTACCATGATTTTAAAATGGCTTTGTCATAGTTTATAGTTGGCTGATTTCTCCTTAAGCAACGTTCAGAACCTCAAATCCTCAATCCTCAACATCTCATCCCCTGCCGGAGGTGAGAAGTGAAGCGACATGGTTAAATGGGGAAAGGCAACAGCCCCAGCCAGACGCACTAGAGCAGACAGCTAGGTGAGTAAGAATAGTTCCCGTTCCTTGGAAAATGGGCAAGGAAGCACATCCCACGATGCAGAATAGAAAACCAGTCCTTTGAGCCCCAGGAGCTGAGCTGCTCTGGGAACCCAGGAAGGAAATACATTCTTGGCTGGGTCTCAGTGACAGAAAGCAACACAGTTCTCTCAGATCCAGGCCAGTGGACTACCCTCCAGGAAAATCAAAGTCTCTGCAGTTTTGCTGACTGGTGAGGGGCTGCAGGGCCCTGGGCGCTGTAGGGCGGTTGGAACTTTCAATCCACTGCAAGAAACTCGCACATGCCTTTAGCACCATTGACAGAAACAGCACCTTGTTTCAAATTTGGCTGTAGATAATGAAATTTGTCCCCAAATTACCATAAAGTGGAAAAAGTAAACACAAAAGCAGGAGCTAAAGTTTTCAGGCATTTCTCCTCCCCCTATTACAGACCAGTCATGTCTATGGCTATTAGCTGTTTAAATTCAAAGCAAAGCTTCTGTTTTTCTAAGTCGCTGTTTTGACCCCAAGCAGATAAAGAACACTAAATGACACATTCAGCAGAGTTGCTGTGTTCTTGCAGAGCTGCTCTGTTTACATCAGGAAATCCAGCGGGGCGCGGACGGGGGGTGGGCCGGCGGAGGCGGCCGGGCGCCGGCCTCCCTCGCGCTTGCCGCCGCGCTCGGCTGGCTCCGCCGCGCTGGCCCCTGGCGCTCGGCCGTTGACTCCATCCAGATGTGCGGTGGCTCCAGAGTGGCTGCCGCGCGCAGTAAATGGGCATCGGAGGCTCGTCAATCTGGGCCAGAGCAATTGCGGTCTCGCGGGCGGCTCCACTGGCACGCGGAAACGTACGCGCGGGAGGGAACCATGCGGGGCGATCCCTGGGCGCGGGGAGGCGAGCGCTAATGACCGACCCGGGAAATGTTCCTGATACATTAGTACATTTCCTTGTAAATGTTTTACACTTTAAAAGAAAGGGGAATGCTGTATATCATTTGGAAATGTTGGCTGTCTATAGGTCCCTATGGATATTACTGGGTTAGTACGACTTGTAACCAGAGCAAGAGGAACATAAAAAAGCTGGAAACACTGCCAATTAGTCATTACAGGGAGATTGTAAAAACAAGAGAAAGAGGAGGGAACAGAAGGAATAAAGAGAATAAAATGCCTCAGGAATTAAAATTAAAGAAACTAGATGCGATTTTTCAGTGTTCCCAGAATAGAACGGGGAAACAGGACAGCTGGCAGCCTTCTAACCAGGGGCGACCTGGGAACCAGCAAATTCCCGGTGCAGCCCAGGAAGGACCCCTGAGCTTTCCCCAACTACACCGTGTTGCCCTCCCTGTAAAACTCAAGCTGGGTCAGTGGGCAGACTGTGTGCTTTGAAGCAAGACCCAACTGTGCAAAAGCCAAGTTAGACATTTATTTCTGATCGCCTGCCACCTAGTTGCTTGCTGAGTTACTAAAAAAAAAAAAAAAAGACAGGAGCCATTTCTTTAACAATCACCAACAACAGACTTAAAGCAGACTGAGGCCATGCTGGCTGAAAACTGTTTTTAATAGTATGGTAATTCTTACTGAAATCTCCCCCTGCCCCCACTTTTTGTTAGATTCCGGAATCAAGAACTTGTAACATCATAAACTGAAATGAATCTGGGTGAACCTTGCAGTCCTTCTGCAGTAACTTTACTGACCCTGTTCAGAACTTGAAGGTAAGGGAAGAGATACGGCCTGGCCTCCTGTTAACTGCCCGCAGTGCTTCTTCAGGGAAGAGCTGTGAGAGCTCATGAGCCTCCAGGAAGTGGTGTGCGGGGGAGGGGGTACTGGACAGGAAGCTGGGGCCTATTCTCCAGGGAATTGAGGGGGGAGAGGGGGAGAGAAAACTTGCTGGTGGGAGAGGAACTGCTTATCTCAGCAGTATGAAGAGTCCACCTCCAGCCAAACTTCTTCAGCCCACAAGATTTTAGTCCCCACCTCCTCTGAGTCATGAGGACAGCCACATGTGCCTCAGATCCAACCCCTGGCTAGCTTACAACTCTGCTAATCAGCTAGGGTCCTTCTTGGTATCTGGCCACAAATCAGCAGACTCACAGGTCAGCTTTACCAGTACAAAATAACTTGCATAAGAACTGCTTAAAAACAATTATGTGAGCAAATTAATTTGGTTTCTAGCCACAGATTTATTTAATCTAGTGGGAAGATCTCAAAAATGATTAAACCACACATTATTTTAAAGTAACATTAACTTAAATAAGAAATGAAGAATTCTTATACAGTCATCAAACATTCTCATGTGTGGGAACTAAGGAGTTCCCAACCATTGTCCCTAGCGTTGAAAGAAGCGAATCAATTATATCTGAGGCTTCTTTAAAGACAGAAACTAAAATAGTAAAAATTATTTATCTCAAAGGATTTTACCTTCATAACATATGGTTCTGAAGTCCTTCAATGGAAAGGTTATAATCAGACTGATTGAAACAGCTTTGTGAACTGGGTCCATTCACATTGATAGGTCAATTTTGCCAATGGCCGACAACAGATTAATTATGTCTTCTCTGAACTAAGGACTCAGAAATAATATAATAGTTTTGCCAGGAATCCTGTTTCAGCTAATATGATTTCTCTGTAGCTTCTCTCTGAACAACACTTGCCATCTGCCCCCATCTCTGTCTGTGCCCAGTGTCACCCTTTCTAGTAGGTTCATCTCATTCCTTGAAATACTTCCATTTCTCACCTTCTGCCTGACTGTGGTTGAACCCCACTGCTGAAATCTTGGCTTTCTGCTATTCTCCATGCACATTCTTTTCTTCCACAGTTGCTTCATACTAGCAGTTTATACTAATGACTTCAAAAATTAAAGCTGCACTCTTGATATTTCCTTCAGGTTCTAGGTGCATTCTTCTAGCTGCAAATAGATATTTTCATTTAACCTCCACATCATCCTTTGAAAGTCAGTACCTCGAAGAACAAATGCATTATCTTCCCAAATTCAACTAACTTAGCCCTCGTGACTCTCCAGTTTCTACCAAAGATAATCTCTTTCTCTCCTATTGTTCTATTCTAATTTCTATGAGACCTCTGGGAGTCAGGCCCTGCCCCATGCTTGGAGATACAAAAGTGAAAAAGGTATTTAGCATCTCTCCACTATAGCCAACTAAGCACATGAAAGCCATGCGGATCACACACAACCTTGTAGAATAATTTGCTCAAATCCTTGCAGTCCTCATCTTTTCTTTATATGAAGAAGCTTGTGTTCATTAACCTTAAAATTTCAATCAGAGCTGAGTTGTTCTTCCACTGAGATTTTCAATTCCTCCAGAAACGTCCCCTGGAGAGAGACTCTTGTCCTCCTATCGCCTGCCTGCTGAAACAGCCCTACTGCCCGCTTTCTGGAAAGCCATCCTTCTACATACCTTGAGTTCTGGAAGGAGGCTTATGTTCTTCCCCCCTTTCCAGTAGGGTAAATTCTAGGCAAAACTTAAAATTGAAATCAAGCCTGCAGTCCTGCATAGGAACTCCATGTCCCCAGTGGGGCATAGAGTAGGCCAGAGCCTACTCTATGGATAACTGACTTACCTCCAGCACCATCTCTTTGCTTCCCAGTTTTAAGCCCCTACTTACAGGTCTGTCTAGTGTCTCTACTAGATGTCTCATAAGCACTTGAAAACTCAAAGGCACTAAAACAAATCACTCTATCTTTATCCTTAAAGTCTTTTCATTCTTTCTCCATTAAATTTAGTAATGAGATTTATCTCTTATTTAAATTTAAAAAAAAACCTGAGGAATCTTTTCAAATTCCTTTCTTTCCTCTACTCTGAAGTCCAATCATTCAAGTTCCACTTCCTGTTGCTCAGGGCTGCATTGGGAAGTTTGTGTTTCCAAGACAGGCACCTCTACTGCCTTCACCGAAGTGCCCTTCAGACCCACTTCTCAGCCTTCTCCACTGCACCCTGTATGTGGAGATGCCTGTCCTCCAGCTTCCAGGAAGGAGTGCAGCAGCAGGTTGAGTGACAAGGCAAACCCCGTTCTCCACTGTCCCACCATTCACCCCAGACCCTGTGCCATTCTTTGCTGCTTTTCCTAAACCTGCCCACAACTTTGTGCATAGTCCCTTCATTAAACTGTCCTCAAACCACTCAATTTGAGAGTAATTTCTGACAGGAAAGCTGAGTTGCCACCTCATATATAGAACTCTGTCTGTCATATAGCTTTATCATCTCAGGCCCAACGCAACTCCTAATACACAGCAGGTAACTGATAATAGTTTACCAAGTGAATGAGTGAATTACTTATTCACTCATCAAAGGCAGCCTCGTAGTTGCCTTCAAAGGGCTGACATAACTTTAGGACTGTATAAATGTAACTAGTCCTTAACTGTTCAGGAATTGAAATTACATTCTGCCCTTTGAAGGCAATTGTGAGGCTGATGTGGCCGCAGGTCAAAATGAGTTTGACACCCCTGACTTAGTGAATATACATTGTTTGATATGTAAGTCTCTAGTGTAACTTCCATTACAATTTGGTCATAAGTTTAGGGGCATCTCACAGAGCATCTAACCATATACTTATATACAATAGGTGCATTATTTATTAAATAAAGCTCAGTTATTGAAAGATTGAGCCTAGTCTCTGGCAAGAAGAAGCTAAAAAATAGGAATAAGTTTTTTTTTTTTTAAAGGGGGAATGAAGAGAAAAAGGAGAAGGAAGGAGAAAGAGAAGCAGAAAAATTCATTCTGGGTTAAATAATAGAATCACTTCATTTATATTACTCCTCCTATTCCTCTGTGTTGTGGTGGCTGACCTGTCTCTGATTTATCATACCACAGCCTTTTCAAACTGAGGATCTAATGAAAGATCAGAAAGGTATCTCACTTATACTCATTTATCCCTTAATTATTTTTCTCTATAAACTTTTATTGGCACATTTATTAAGTCAATCATCAAATAAGTATGCTGAATATAGAGGGGATTCCCAAAAATGTATATCTTGTGTGCAATAGCTAAATGTGACGTTGGAAGGAGAACATGGACATGAACACAAAATGGGAAGGGCTGCAAAAGAGTTAACACCCTGCCACAGTAGCACAGAAAAAGGCGTATGCAATTCCCTAAAAACAAAGGAAGACCTCATCCAGCTGATGACATCTGAACAGTGAATTGCCCCCTAGCAATTCAGGGAGAGTGAATGCATCCTTGGCAGTCCTAGGAATTTAGATCATCAGATGTCTACACAGAGAAACAATCATTAAGTAGGTCTGACTCCTAAGCTATTCTAGTCATTAATTGGATCACTAAAATTCCACTCTCCATGTCTGATAGTTTGAACTAACACACTTACACTTTGGTATCATTCAGGAATGACATCAGGAAGAGGTGGATTTTGTTTTCTCCAGCTGGAAAGCATTGAGCACAGGAAATAAGATGTGATTCTAGTTTGAAGGGAGCCCTGAGAAAATGGCCATAGTTCCTACCCATGGACACTGGTCAGGGTTAGATAGACAGTGTTGGGATGCCTGCACACTATTCCTAGTTTCGTAGAGACAGAGAGGTGAACTGCATGTCCATGCCCTGTACCTCTCTGTCCTTCTGTGTCCTTGGGGTTCAACCCTCCTCTTTTAACACAATTGCCTAAGGCTCAGTGTACATCCTTTCTCTTAAACAGACTTCAAGTAGATCTCTTCCTTAAGTTATCTCTGATAACAATGCTGGTTACTATTGTAAAATTCAGTTCCACCACATAGTGATGAAAAGAACGAGGTGTCCTGTCTGCCATATGGTCAGGCAATGTTAGTGTCACCTCACAGGGACTGCACAACAGTAAGAGCCACCACAAAGCAAACTTCCTTGTGAATTGAGAAAGATTTCTTAATTCAAAGAGCTTTAAAACAAAAGTAAGTGATCCAGTTACAAATAAATTATTTTTCGCCTGCCCTAGACAACATTGGCGTCTATACAATGAGAAGGGTATTTTCCTTTTTTAATATTAAAATAAATTAGTAATGTAAGTGTAGAGAAATAGCACAAATGGCATGCCTTGGGCACAGAGACTGTTAAAGAAAAATCAGCAAATGAAAGTGAGGCTTAGTAGAGCACAGCCCTGAAGTTTTGGCTCACAAAGCATAAAAAAGAAGACCAGTGAGTGGGGGAGTTTCCTGAAGCCGTGAGTAAATTCTGGCAGAGATACAGCCTGGTTTTGGTTCCAGTCCACATGACATCACAATCTATGAATTTTGCTTCAGATTGGATTTGAATGAACTTGTAGATTCAAAACAAAACCCATTTGAAACAAGCTGCACAAAGCTGCTCTATCTTCCCAGCAGCAGTTAACTACATTTCCTAATGGCCCTTTTCTGTTCTAGATTGCAGAGGGTATTAGAAGGCAGGCATGGGACTAACAGACCAAAGTCCAAACCAAACATACATATACACACACGTGTATAAACACATATACACACACAAGCACACACAGAGACAGATGCACATTCACACACAGAGACAAGCACACATGCACACACAGAGAAATACACCCAGAGACACAGGGACACTGGCTGGCACTTTGAGTCTTCCATGGATAGCCTGCTCCTCTCTTTTTCTTCTTTCTTCTTTTTATTTCTATTGTTTTAATACTGTCCAGTAGGGGTAAGGAAAAAGACTCACACCAGCCTGCAAATAGGATCTGGGCTTTGAAGAAACCAGGGCAGAAAAAGAAACA